GGGGTTTAGGGTTTAGGCACATGCTGCGAAGAACATGTCAGTTCAAGGAACCTTCACAAATAACATGGGTAATTATTGAGTGGCTTCCGCATTAGGCATTTGGGGTTTAAGGCTTATCATGGTGGTCACAACGATGGTTATTGTCAGTATTGCTGTCGCTTCCTTACTTAGGGTCGGTCTTGTTAGTGCACTTATTATTGTCATGAATATTGTTCAGGTAATGCACCCAAGTCTCTTCGCTGCTCTTTCTAGCTTTATCGTGTTTGTTGTTGCTCTTCTTCCTACGCTTCTGATCTTCATGTTCTACTCAATGTCAGAAATCCCAATCGATTTCCCCCGAGCTCGGCCCAAGCCTAAATCCTAAGTCCTAAACCCTAAACCCTAAACCCTAGCAAGCTTCGGGTTTAGGGTTTGGGACTTGGGATGGGCTTGGGGTTTCCGTCGGCCCTAGCGGTATCCTGCCAAAAACATATTGCAGCGTTCCGGAGAAAAACGGGACCCACCCTGCACCCTAAACCCTAAACCCTACACCCTAAACCCTAAACCCTAAACTCGGGGATTCCGACATCACTCCTGTGGAGCTACCTGCGGCTGTCGGTTTAGTTAGGGCAGTTATGGGTTCCTCACACCCGAAGCGATTCAACCTTCGACCTAAGTCTAAACGCCAAAGATGATTTCCCCAACCCAAATCCCTAAACGTTAAACTTTGAGCTTTAAGCCCCAAAGCTAAAATGTTCTGAGGTTGGTCGCCGGGAGGAAGTTCGCTAAAGATGGCTCTGGGAACGTGGTGGCAGGTAGCATCAGTGAAAGAAAATCCTTGTCACGTTCAAGAGGCTTTGGGGCCACCATAAAACCCCATTTACAAGCCCTTCACAACACCATTGGCTACGGGAGCTTTTGTCCCCTAAACCCGAAACCCCAAACCCCAAAAGCCTTATAAGCCCCTACTTTAGCGACCCCAAAATTGCCCCCTAAGCCCTAACTCAGCGAGAACGGCTGGGTTCCAGGCTGAGCCGTCTGCGTCTCACCGGCGAGGCGCTTCTGGGGTTTCGGGTCTCTTGAAGGGCTCCTATGAAAGGCTCCTGGAAGACTTGGGGTTTAGAGCTTTGGGGTTTAGGGGTTTAGGGTTTAGGGGTTTAGGGTTTAGGGGTTTAGGGGTTTAGGGTTTAGGGTTTCAGGGGTTTAGGCTTTGGGGGTTTAGGGGTTTAGGGGTTTAGGGTTTAGGGTTTAGGGGTCTAGGGTTTAGGGTTCAGCAGCTCCGGATCGAGCAATCTCTAGCAGAGCTTTCACTAAGGAAAAAACCCACCCACCCAAGATTCCCATATCATCAGGAAACCGTTCTACTTTTCGTAATCTTGAAGGCTGAAATCCTAAACCCTAAACCCTGAACCCTAAAATGGTCCTAAACACCAAGCCCTAAAAACCTAGGCCTTAAACCTTAAGCTGCAAAGCCTTAGTCTTTAAATTCTGCACACCAAAGCTTAGGTATTAAATAAGTCTCAAGTCTAAATACCAACGAAGAAATCGCCAGGTTCCCACGAAGCGCCGACTTCGTGGGAATATTGCGATTTGATTGGCGAGTAGAAATCGCCAGAATCCCACGAAGGGACGGCTTCGTGGGTATGGCGATGTCTTTGGCGAGTACAGTGCTGCGATAAAGTCGCCAAGGCATTCTGCAATCTGTCGATCTGGTATTTAGTCTAAGTTAAAGTCGGAAGCCCAAACCCCAAATCCTGAGCATTAAAGCCCATGCCCGAAAACCCCTAAGCCCCAAAATCCTAAAGCCCTGAAGCCCTAAAACCCTGAAGCCCTAAAGCCTTAAAGCCTTAAAGCCCTAAACCCCAGAGAGCGTGACTCCCGGTAGCCGTGCCTGGCCCTGTGTACTCCTTTAAAGTAGTCCCTGTACTCCGTGGACCTTAAACCCTAAACCCTAAACCTCCGTAGCCATTTTGGCTCAAGATACTGCTTTTGCAACTTACGCGAACTTCATACTGTCTTACAGATCATTGTTGTTTGTGTAGTGGTGACGCATTCGGTTACGCTCCATTGTCAGAAATGGCCACCCTTCCCGCCGTTCCGGAGGAGTGCGCCATATGAACTTACGAACTGGATGGGTCGTCCAGCGTGAGCGACTCGGGGTCGGAGGCATCGGAGGACCCCATCTCTGACGCAGGCACCTATGCGTCCTGCGGTCCTCTGAGACACCAGAGGCATCCTCAGACAACACATTGAACCGTTTCAGGATTCTTGAAGAATTCAAGATCTGTTGTTTTTAGGGATCTTCAGCTCAGGCAAGAAAAGGGTTTGCTTTCCGGGTTTAGAGTTAAATTGGGGAGTTGAGAGTTAAATTTGGGGGGTTTAGCCGCACTGCATCGGAAGTCTCGTTCAAGCACCCGCTGGATCTTCATAGTGCCCTATATGCCCTATATGTATCCAGATGCGAGTGTTTAATTGGAGGATGATCCAGGCCAGCTTCGAATCGTGGCAAAACCAGGGGGGGGGGACCCAAGGCTTTCACGGACCACCACAACGCTTATAGGGAGCGTGCGTAGGTTCCAATAACACCGGTGAAGTTACAGCTATAGTGGAAGCTCTCCTACACGCGCACCAACACAGCAAGTACACAGTGCACATTCACACCGACAGTCAATGGGCCACCACTGCAAAATTGTTCCTGGAATTGAACTGTTCGGAAATAGCCTGGCAGGCTCTAGAATCAATTTGTTGCCAGGGTTGTGTATCAAGTAGGACATGAGACCATCAGGAAGCGAGCGGGATTCCCCGCTTATGAGACGGTGCTAAAACAGCTGGTGCATCCGGTCCACTGCAAAAGTTCCACTCCGTTGTCAATCCAGGCCGAAGTGACTTGCGACGGCAGTCCACCACGACGGTGGAGGCTGGCGTCGGAAGTTGGTGCCTAAGACAAAGCATGACCTTAGAGTTCACGTTTCATGGATCTCCTTCTCACTTCCCTCTAGCAGGGATGATGTCAAAAAGGTCGGTAAAAGAATGAAGACTGAGCTGGTCATATTGATTTCCAGAGCATCACTTTTAGTCTTCCGTATAAGGCCGGGCCCCATCAGGATTAGGTAAATCCTCAGTGTGGCGCTAGATTAGCTGTAGATGGACGGTAGTACAACATCGACCAAACAGAGATTTAGGAGAAGACTCAAGCCTTCCAAGGTCGTCATTACAGTTTCTAAAAATCCCCAGGGTTCCCACGTAGTCTCTCTGCCTTTGAGAAGAAGTGCATTGTTTGGGATGAGGGTGGGTCTGGGGCTCAAATCACGCTAGTACCGCGCTAGCTGCGCGCTAGTGAATTTCTTACAACTTTGCGCTCGGCCAGCAGATGCCCAGTCCTCTTGTAAGGCTTGTAGCTTGTCGCAGCGGTGTGCTGTGTTGTAGAGTGTCATGACAGGGGCGCTGACCAACGGACCCCTAATAGAGATTGTTACAAGGTGGATGCAGTATCCACGTTACAGGTGCGGTTTGCACCGCCCCAAGGAAAACCAAGACACTCTTGCTTACTAGGACATTTACCAACTCTACAAGTCTGCGGTAGTGCTATTTGCTGGAGCTTCCTGAAATTCTATAGTTCCAGATGGTCTTCAGCATGCCCTGGGTTTTTGTTTTTGTAAGACAGGTGGGGCCCTATGGAACGAAGGCTTTACGGCCACCCTCAGGCAAAGCATTTTGAGGATATCAGCTAGCTCTACTTTTCCTATAACGTAAGCAGTTTTGAGGTTATCCCTAGTTGCGTTGAAGGTAAGATCGTGAAGAGCATCGGTTGCAGCTGTCGATGTAGACAAGGATTCTACGGCAGTGCTGATCCCATGATCAATTTCCGGCACTCAAGGTGGGCACCTCGGGTACGGCGAAGTTGCTTGACAACTCTAGCGGAGATGTCTACGTGGTTGAGGCTGGGGACATGCGATAGCCAACCAAGTTCTGTGCGAGAGGTTTGGTTGGGATCACGGCTCAGCTGACACTGTAAGGGCTCCCATGCTGTGCCCACGTGCCTGTGTCCTGGACAGGGCCCCTCTGGGAAGAAGGCTGTCTTCAAACCAGCCAGGGGCTCGCGAACTTGTGCTAGAGTGGAGTTGAGTTGTGAGCACATTTGTTGAAGGTTTAGGGTTCAGGGTTCAGGGTTTCGTTTGTTTAATCCAAGGGCTTGAGGTTCAGGGTTTGGGGCGTGGGGCATCTTGCTGCCACTTAAGCGGAAGAGTGGAGCCCGACGCTGGTCCCCATACGTGTAATCTCGACAAGAGACTTCCATGGTCTACTGCGCAGGGAGCATCTAGACAGTCAACTTGAAGTGGGCGAAGCAGAGTAAGATTTGTGTCATTGTGTCTACTGTTCTTTACTTATAGGGATCCTCCAGAAAAAGTGGTGGCGTGTGTTTGTCCGGTTCCATGACAGACAAGCTGCCAGCACATTTTTTTGCAATTTGCAATCCACGGCAGTTATGAACCCAGCACCTGCATTATGCCAGGCTTGTTTCGGTTGGTCTTTGCAAAAAACTTCCTGTCTTGGAGGTTGGTAGCCATCACGAGTTCAGATATTTTTGGGGTTATTATTAGTGCAAATAAGCAAGTAGAGCATCATTGTTTCAGGGTTCAGGACGGGCCTAGAAAAGGCATAAACAACACCCGCAGTCACAACAAGATGGGAGGCCTACGTAAAAACGTGAGGCCTAGACACTTTGCGTATGTAACGCCCCGGGTGGGTTAGTGCCAACACCGTGCTCTGAAATATAGCAATCAGCAGCATTGAAGAATGCCTCACTTGAGGCGACAGCCGAGAAGTTCACCCGGTATGGCATCTCCCGTGGCGGCGGTGCGGCAGGGGTTCATTGATGCCCGATGGCAGCGGTGTCTTGTAAACGCACTTTTGTGGTTCTTACCGCCTTCTCAGAAACAGAGCAGAAGCTGAATGAACATGCTTGGACTTTTTTTATCGTCGCATGCGTGAGCCGCAGCGAAACACGTTGGTAATTGTAGGAGCCATGCACTGTCGTCACTTCGCAAGCGTAGTTGCAGGCGCAAAGCGCGAACTTTGCGTCTACCTCGCCGACAGGATCTGCGGGTCACAGGCCGGATACTTGTTTCCAGTCTGCCTTCTGTATTAACTCATGAGGTGGCATCCATTTGATGTGCTGTTTGTGTCTTTCCGTTTACTTTCTCTTTTCTTTCGCTTGTTTCAAGAACGAAAGGGTTCAGGCAAAGCGAAGTGACCACATGACAAGAAGCAAATACAAAGACTTCCGTTCCTGTTGCATATGTTTCTGTGTCAACATTTTTTTTTGCTTCGTACTTTTCGCCATGCTGCTATCTTTTCCGACTTGCAAGAAACAACAAGAGAGGACATAATAGAATGAATAGAGATGAGACCTGGAGCACGCCAAAACGCCCCAGAAGACGGATGCTTTTGCTTTGTTCTATTTGTCCCGTGCTGTGCTTTACTTTTTTGCTTTAGCTTGAAAGCTGCCATGATAGAAGATGGGAGGACGAAGAGCCGAACATCTAGATTTTACCCCCGGTTTTGGGACACGTGGCCAGTATTCATCAACGAGGAAGAGGCCTGTGTGATACTCAGTCTATTTGCTTCTCGCTCTCGACTTGTCCCTTTTATGTGCCTTAATCTGGGCAGGACTTACTACATGCTACTGCATGTTAAGAACGTTTCATTGTTTTTTGTTTTGGTGGATGTGTCTGTGGAGCTTCACAATTCGCGATCGTGTGTCACAAGCTTGACCCCAACCCTTGTCGCCAAGAAGAGCCAGCCGTCCACAACCAACAGCCACTCCAGCCGTTTGGTGGGCCTTGTAAACAATTGAAAGGCAAATCTCGTCCATGGCTGATGCAACCTCCTGCTAGGCGGGCGTTCCCACGACGTTCTGCGGCAGCTTCCAGGTCGCAGCCCTTTTTCATATCACGCTTTGAATGTCGTGAAGTGCTTCCAAATCACACTGCCCTTGTTGCGCAGATTGGGGACGAGACGAAGGAAGGCGCGCAGCTGCTAGACATCTGATTCGC